GCATTTATTTTGGATGGAGGAGTGGGTGTTGCCAGAATCTATTGGCATACTTCGGAGGCATCAAGCTTACCAACTTTGCGGAAATTCATTTGGCTTCCAAACGCTAGCTCTTCAGATGAATAATTAGAGCGTATCTCTTCGGTTCTTCGTCTTTTAGACCTGTCACTAACCTCCGAAAATGGTTTCATTGGTCTCCCTGTTGAATGTGCAATGCTTTTAACTTGGCATGCACCATCTTCTACTTCGTTTTTTTTTTTTGTATCATCCTCTTTCTCTAATTTTAGCTCTACATCTAACCAATATTTGCGTTTTTTCATGAAGTAATCCCTTTTTCTTGATGCCTGGCGCCAGTATTGATTAAATTGGTGTTTAAATTAAGTCAGCAATGAATTCTTCACAGTTTTCGTGTGTTTATATTTTCGTTGATGTTTTCTAATGACTACGTTTATTGTAGTATTCAGTGTACTGTCATTACTTTCATTGAGATATGTTTCAATGATCTCTCTTCGCTTTACTGAGGTCTCCATCTAGAAAAAACAACAACTTAATGAATGATATAAATAGGTAAAGTTAACCCTCAGTTTATTATCCGTTCTCTGTAATAACGAATGTTTTTGGAGGGATAACTATTATATATTTTTATTTTCTCATTTAACATTTCCCCTATATATTTCTTCTTTTTTTATGCCACATGAGCTTTCCTTTCCTTAATATATCTTTCAGGTGAATCTTTACAATAAATGAGGTTTATAAATAAAATTACCTTAGGATATGGATGTAGAACGATCTGTTGTTTACGATCGGCAAGGAAGAGATTATCAGCAAATAGAAAACGCGAGTAAGCAACGACGAGCGGGAATTTTAACCTCGCCAAGCGTGGCAACTCTTCGATGATTACTTTCCATACTCATATACATGAAGAATCGCAGATATTCGCGGAAAATTACACATTGATAAAATTGCATATTGCATTTTCTACCCTTTTTATGTAAAGTAATGACGCTATTTTGCTATATTTGCCGTGTTTTGTTATAGTCACTTATAATGTGTGATCTAAAGAAATTCTAAAGAAGGTCACATTTTTCTACATCACAACACAGTATAATACTTATATTGATAGTGTAAAAGGCATGTGTCTTCCTCATTTAATTTCTACAATGAATTCAATGTTTATCATCTTTAATCAATATATTTTTTTCTCTTCTGGAACTATCATTAAACAATTGTTCAGTACTTCTCTGTACTGATCTAAACTAGCTCACTCTGTATGTTTTTTTTCTCCAAGATATTACATTTTGACCTTTTGTCCACGAATCGGCGATTTTTTTACCACTGTGCGCCGTCTGTTTGGCTGTATAAGCAATCATCAAAAGTAAAAATCGAGTGATGGGCTACGATTTCAAGCAAATTTTTGAAAGTAACTTTCGATAGACCATAATCATTGAGATGAGTGCTGCTCAGATTTTTTACTATTATATCCGTGGTTTCAAAGAGGGGGACATTAGTGAATAATGACTCGACATCAAAACTAGCCATGGTGATGGACTGTTGCAGCTTAAGAGATGTAATTTCATTCACAAAGTTAGTGGAATTTTCAATTGTATACTGATTGGTGGTTAGAGGGGATATAATAGGAACTAGAAATTTTGTAGTGTTATAGTGAAAAGTACCAATCGATGAAGTAATGGGCCTTAGAGGGGTATTAGGTTTATGAACTTTGGGGAGTCCATAGAGTAAACCAGTTCTGGAGCCAGAAGTCACAAGAAAATTATATGTGCTTTCGATGATTGATGTTTTAATGGTATGGAGCAGTCTTTTTAGCTTACCCTCCAGGTATAACAAGTGAGTTGATACCTCAGTGGTGATTCGTTTGAATTTAGTGCGGTCGTTGAGAATATTCATGAACTTTTGTTTATAATCACACTTGTTTAAGATGACAACACCACGACCTTTGTCTGGTTTGGTAATTATTAGAGTGCTGTCGTTTTTGAGTGTCTGTAGAGGAGATAGGAGCACCTCTGAATCACGTGCCTGTTTTATCTGAGTTATTAGCTATCGTGGAGATATTATGAGTAACATTGTTGAAGTTACTTTTATAAATGTTACAGTTTTTAAGATTGTTGCACAGCTTCTCAAAATATAAGTAAAACCTGTGGAAACTGACTTTAATCGGGGATATACAGTAGTCCAAGTCGAGGGATAGTACATTTTTTTTGTTCATCTGTAAGAACTTTGTCAGAGAAATTGAATATAACTTTGTTCTTATCCACTTTTTTTTAAACATCAATACCTAAGTTCAACAATTTTTTGTTATGGATGGTGTCTACTCGGCTTGTACTACTGCATACCCCCGACTAAAGTCAGTTTCCACATGTTTTACTGTTTACACATGCATATATATATATATATATATATATATATATATATATATATATATATATATATATAACACATATATATACTTATATATGCATATATATATATATATATATATATATATATATATATATATATATATATACATATTATATACATATTTATATATACACATATATATACATAAATTCAAACATATATACAAATGTCTCTCTCTCCTCTCTCTCTCTCTCTCTCTCTCTCTCTCTCTCTCTCTCTCTCTCTATATATATATATATATATATATATATATATATATATACATATATATTTATATATATACATACACATAAAGATATATATATATATATATATATATATATATATATATATATATATATATATTATATATATATACATATATTACACCCATGGTGTAAGGGGAATATTGTTCAGTGGTATTCAGGCCAAGATTGAAACACCCATCTTCATTTCAAAAGCGTATTCTTCAAAGGGTACATTTAACAGCACTTGAATGTGTTGGAGACGAACATATGGTTTTGCTTGATGTTAGCAGACGATACGACGATATGACGGTATGACAGTATGACGATATGACGCTATGGCGCTATGACGACACGACGCTATGACGGTTTTGACTGTAAGCAAGATGTTCATCATTAAATTTCTAAAGTTTAAAAACAAAAATTGATTTCCATCAATACAGCTAACATATCATATATATGGTGCACAATTCCAAACTCATTTTAACTTATCACTTTTATGTAAAGTAACAGCAAAGTTATATCTTTCCAATATTTACTTTACACATCTAATATTTGATAAAGTATTGCCAAAAAATGAGATATCAAATATAGTAAATTACTTGCTATGTGTTTAAACTATTATCAATATTTAACTTGTATAAGAAACATATATAACACAATAAGGCCACTTGTCAATTAAGCTGATCAAATCACAAATCAGGTATATATAAAATTCATTGAAGTATAAAATAAATAAATAACACTTCATAGTTCTGGTAACATGACTAGGTTAGGCACTTGTATTTTATCACCAAAATTAACTGACAAAATTAACTCCTTTCCTACCTCTAAATAATAATAATATATCACCTTATATCACATTATAAAGGCAGAATTACTGGACTAAATGATTAAAGACATATTCTGAACTATAAAATTCTAAACACTGGCATATCAAGAGCACATCGTTTGAAAAATTAGTTTGAGCTTGACTTTCTTTAAGTAAATCTAACAAAATAAACATTTGATTCAACCTGAACTATTCTCTGTAAGAAAGTATATGTATTAATCTTTAATTTCTCACATTCTTGGCGTTTCCTTCGGTTTCATAAACACACACTGGTTAAACAAAATATGATGCGAGTTGACAGCATCCCTTCCTCGCAAAACAAAGTTGTCTTCCCACGACTCGTATGATGTACGATAACTTCCACAAACATACGGGACCATACAAAACGTACAACTATTTTAAAATTATAATTCCATTTCAATACTTCTTACATATCAGGTGTTACATCCCGGCCCCAAAATGTACTCCATAATGGATGCATTTACAAAAGAAAAATCATGTAACACCAAGCTGGAGTAAACAAAACTTTAGAATACCTATTACAATTTATGCAAATATATTCCACATTCAAAATAAAAAATAACATAATCTATCATAATAGATTAGGGTTTACCTGAAGCTTTATGAGAATCACATACATTGTTTTCCAACAAACAAATCCTCGTTACAGGTCTCTCATAAGTACCAGTTCCTGTTCTTAAATCAACAGAGCATACTATATCATCTGTTCCATTATGAACACCCACTACTAATCCTAAGGGCCACTGATTATGAGGAACATAATCTTGTTTGATAAGAACTAGATCTTCATTTTCTAGATTTCTCTGAGGTTTCATCCATTTTTGGCGTTCTTGAAGTCCAGGAAGATATTCTTTAATCCATCGACGCCAAAATACATCAGCCAGGTATTGGACTTGTTTCCAGCGTCTTCTATATTGATCCTTTTCAACAAACTGTCCAGGTGGTAACAAAGGTCCTGGACGCAGCATCAGCATGTGGTTCAGTGTTAGAGGTCTAGCATCTCTTAGGTCCTCGGACAGCTTTGTGATGGGTCGGTTGCTTATGATACCTTCCACTTCAGTCATTAACGTTATTATGGCCTCATCATCTGGAGTCTGCTGTGTGATCATACTTGATAGCACTCTTCGAATGGTCCATATTTATCATTCCCACACTCCACCTGTGTGTGATGCAGCTGGTGGATTGAACTTCCAGTCTATTTCTTTCTTCAATAAATGAGCATGAATCTGGTATTGATTCCATTCCTGGATAGCTCTCTTCAAATCTTGATGAGCAACAAAGTTTGTGTCGTTATCTGACCAGATTTCTTTAAGTTCTCTCCTTGCTATAAATCTTTCTAATGCATGAATAAAACTATCTGTGTCCAATGAAAATGCTACTTCAATGTGTGTGGCACGTGTGGCAAAACACATAAATATACAGCCATACCTCTTCATCTTGGAATGATTTCTTTACTAAGAATGGCCCAAAATAGTCCACTTCTACCCTACTGAATGGTGGTTCATAAGCTATAACATGAGATTCAGGAAGGTTTGCCATTTGCTGGTATACTGTCTTAACAAAGATGCATCATCTCCAGGGTTTTCTTCAGAAGGTACATACCTCCACTGACTGACTACAGTGTTATCAAGAATTTTTCCTACTCTGTTGGCTACATATGTTTGGAAACGTTTATCTGAGCTGTTCAAGTACCATAGTATTATCTGACTATCCACCCAGTATACTGATATTTCTAGAGGTATCTCCAATTCTTTAGTTAGAATTTTATCAAGCCTTACAGCTTCTAGAGCTCCAGCTAGTTCTAGTCTTATGATTGTAGAACCTTTCAGGGGTGCAAGATGTGACTTATCCATGATCAAGTTGATATACACAGAGTTGTCCTCAAGTGTTACTCTCAGGTATGTTGCAACACCATACCCATTCTCAGAAGCATCTGAAAAATGATGAAGTTGAGCCATTTTTATAGTTAAAGCTGTTGGATTAAAGCATCTGGGAACCTTAAACCTTTTAATCTCTGGCAAATCAGCTAACCACCGGCCCCATTGTTCCTCCAGTTCTATGGGAAGTGGTTCATTCCAGCCTTTTTGTAGTCTGCACAGTTGCTGAAATATTCTAGCCTGTAATATGAATGAACTGACATATCCTAGAGGGTCAAACACAGTGCTGAGTGTACTGAGCACATTCCTTTTGGTTTTGGTTCTGTTATGCATCACTTGTACATCAAATCCTAAGTAATCAGTATTCACATGCCACAGCATACCTAGAGCTCTCTCCGTGGACTGATCCTCCAAATTCAACTGCAGATATATCAAAGATTTTCCTCGATCCTCCTTTAGTATATGCTTCAGCAGTTCTGGTGATGAAGAAATATATTTAGTAAGATGAAATCCCCTTCTATTCAGCTCTTGAACTTACTTTGCCAAAACTATAGCAGACTCAACACTATTTGCAGACTTCAGACAGTCGTCCACATAAAAGTTGTGAAGAACTGTTCAGTACTTCTTCTGAATACATGTTGCGATACTCCTCAACTACCATTTTAAGGGCATAATTAGCACAGCTCGGGGTCCATACTCCTCCAAAGATATGAGCTGTCATTCGTAAGGTCTGTAGGGGTTGTGATGTGTTGTTCTCAAACCACAGAAAGTGAAGTGAGTCTCTGTCTTCAGGGGTAGCACGCACTTGGTGAAACATGGACTCTGCATAGGCCATAAATTACACTGCTCCTTGTCGGAATCTCAACAGAACACCAACAAGTCCATTAGTCAAATCTGATCCCTGATGCACATGATCATTGAGTGAAGAGCCACCATTCTTGGCAGCACAGTCAAAAACAATGCGACACTTTTCTGGTTTCTTTGGATTCAACACAGGGTGGTGCTGCAGATACCACACCTTGCCATCATGGCAGTGCAAGTCTTTTTTGGGGACTACTGCATATCCCTTTTTAACAGTTTATGGATTTCTTCAGAGTATTTTCTTTTTAGTGTCTCATTCTTGTTAAGGCGCTTGGTTAATGATATTAACCTCTTCTCGGCTAGGAATTTGTTGTCAGGTAAACTAGGTCGCTGTGCCTTGAATGGTATACTCAATGTATAATGTCCCTCTATCACCTGGCGTGTACTGTTCCATGTGCCAACTGCTCTCTGGTCACTGACTAGCCCTTCTCTTCAGCAAAGGCATTCTCTATCTCCCATAATTTGGTTCACACTGGAAACAGTCAAAGACACTACTGTTGTTTCCACAGACTCGGTTCTGTGTAAGTGTGGTTAATTCCAAATTGCGCATAGTTCCTTGGACTCCTAAATGATTGCACAGAAACTCACTACAGTAAGTGGCGTTACTACCAGGATCAAGCATAGCATGTGTCAATGAAGATATCAGAGCCTGGACACCACACTCTTGCAAGTACAATAGGCATAGCAAGTTTACCTCCACATGTACGAACATAATGGCTGCTCTGATTTGTTGTGATTGATGATGATGTGGTTGATATATTCTGATCTGCTACTGGAACTGTGTTGTCCACATGACCAACCTGCAGTCTAGTTGGCATATGAAGAAACTTGTTGTGTTTGAGGCCACATCCACTAATGTTGCATACAAAACTTCTGGGACAGGTTTTCCCTATATGTCCCTTGGCAAAATAATTAATACAATGCTTTTGACATCGCAAACTTCCTACGATCTTTAATCTTCATGGCTTTCAATCGTAAACACTGGGTCATATAATGTTCTTGTCCACAGCAAGGGCAGCCGTTAGAATTCTGTGTTCTATTTTCAGATGTAACTGACTGCTTGTTCACTGAGCTGGCTTTCACAGCAAAGCTTCCAATTCTCTTCTTCTCAGCTCCCTTACGACTGATTTCTTTATCCCTTCTGAGCTCACTGAAAGAAACTCTAGAAAATATGGGGTCATTAGCTTCTTCTGTTCCATCAATAATGAAGTCGACCAGGTCCTTCAACTTGGGTACTCGCTTCTGATCTTTCTTTATAATATGATTTTCA